GGGGCTGAGGATATAATTCCATTGGGTCAAATGCTTACCTGGCATGCAGAAGTCCTGGGCTCAATTCCCAGCACTCACTATATAAAACAGGTATGGTGGTGCATGTGCATAATCTCATAATCTCAGCATCTGGAGGCAGAGGAAAGAGGATCAAGTTTGAGGCCAGCCTCACTACATGAAACCTACCTATAAACAAAAACAAGCAACAACAACGCAACTCCACCAGATCTTGTTTCTTTTTTGCTTAAGAAAGGTGTGGGTTCCCTCAGTTCTTAGGACCATAGTGAGCCTGTGTTCCAGGACTGACTGGTCTTCACTTGCCTTTCTGCCTTTCCCTCTTACCTTCTTCATCCTGGGCTCCCATTGTCCCTGGCTTCTATTGGCTGCTTAGCTGCGCCATGTTATTTCTCAAGGGTCTTGTTGATACCCCCTTCTTCTAACAGGAATGGGCTTTTTTCCTCTTCTTCATCTGGCTTATCCTCCTCTTTCTTCACTCTTAGCTTAGATAACACACCTATGCTCACTCCTACCTCCTGTAACCCTCAGTCATAACATGTCCCATTGAGAGTCTGTCTTCTTTACAGGGTGGTAAACTCCAAGGGGCAGTTCCTGGGGCTGTTCCTTCTAAGGAATGAATAAATTTATATATATCCAGCATGATAAATAAATGAATAATTACATTTGGGGTTCACTGCACTTAGAGGGGCACCATTACAGTGTTCCCTATGACCATCACAAGATATTTTCTATTTAAAAAGAGAAATAACGCAAGTCTCATGAAAAGTAATGGTTTGTTTGGGTTTTTATATTGTACATGTCAAATAAGTAGATGCTGGAGGGGTTGGAAAAGAGTAATATCTTTTACTTGGGCTTTCAAAGTGGAAGATGTGGGACTGGAGAGATGGCTCAGTGGTTAAGAGCACTGGCTGTCCTTCCAGAGAATCTGGGTTTGGTTCCCAGCACTCACATGGCAGCTAACAACTACCTGTAACTCCTATTCTAGGGAATCCAATGCCCTCTTAATGACACAGATGAACTTACATACATGCAGTCAAAACACTAATACACATAAAATAAAAATAAACAAATTAAAGGGCAGGAGTGCTAGTTGACAGGATGGAATAGATCACATGCCTCTCTCCATGGCCACTCCTTCTAGTGTTCTGGGATATATACCTCCAGGTTCTACTCTGTGCTTCCTTTCCTTCCGCCCTCTTTGCATCTTATGGTAATCACAGGTCTTTTTAGCTTCTGCCCTTCCTCAGACTCTCTTCTAATCCATCGCCTGCCTGGTTCATTTTCCTGACTACATCATTCCCTCAAAAGTCTTCAATGGCTCCCTATTGATGCTCCCTATTGATTCTTCAAAACTCTAGTTTCAAACTACTTATAGAAAGCTTTAAGTTGTACTCTAAAGTTATAAACGATACATATGTTCACCTCAGCCAGGAAAATACCCAAAGATATAAAAAGAAAAGACATTAGCAATCTCCTACCTCCTCTCCATTTCCCACTCAGTCTCCTGAGGCACCCAGTGTTAGCTTGTTTTGAGTATAACTTCTATCTTTTTATTTTTTGGCCAGGTTCTGGGGGATCAAACTCAGAGGCCTTGTGCATGCTGGGTAAGTACTCCACCACTGAACTACAACTTCAGCCATTACTTTACATTTTAAAAAATTTACACTTACTGGGGCTGGAGAGATGGCTCAGTGGTTAAGAGCACTGACTGCTCTTGAAGAGGACCTGGGTTTGATTCCCAATACCCACATGGCGGTTATGAACCGTCCTTAACTCCAGTTCCAGGGGAATCTGAAGCCCTCTTCTGACCTCCACAGCATTGCATGATATGGGTGCACTCACATACATGCAGGAAGTACACTCATACACATAAAAAAAGAAATAAATGGATCATTAAAAAAATTTACACGTATTTTGTATGTGTGTGCACACATGCATGTGCCACAGTACCAGTGAGTAGGCCAGAGGACAAGCTGTAAAAGTAGGTTCTCTCCTTCTATTATATGGGTTCTGGAGATTGAATGCAAGCTACCAGGCTGTCCAACAAGAGTCCTTACCAGCTGAAATATTTACCCTGCTTATTACATTTTTGTTTTTTATGTGTATGAGTATATTGACTGAATGTATATAAGTGTACCCATGTTGTGCAATGTCCATGGAGGTCAGAAGAGGTCATTGAATCCCCTGGATTGGAGTTATGGATGGTTGTGAGCTGCCATGTGGGTGCTGGGATTCAAGATGGGTCCTCTGCAAGAGCAACCACTGAATCATCTTTCCAGGCTGCCATGACATTTTTTTGAGACAGGGTTTCCTTCTGCAACTCAGGTTGACTTCCAAGTCATGATTCTTTTACCTAAGCCTTCTGAGTGCTGGCTTCTGATACAACACATGGCAATTTCTGTATTTTCTAGCATGTTCCCTGTTCTGACATGAACCCACTCATATCTAAGGGACCGTCATATTATTGTTCCTTTATACCAAAAAATTAGGGGTATATGTCTACAACTTGCTCATTCTTTCATGATAAAAAATAGGTTATAGATACAGGACTAACTTATTAATGAGCTACCATGTTTAATAATTTTTTGTGCATATATTCTTGTAATCAGTACATTTCTGTAGGATAGAGTACCAAATTACAGCTGCCTGCGCAACAGCCAAATTGAATTCCTTTGCTCCCCCAGCATGCCCTGTGTTTTTCTACTCTTGTTTTCTCTTCCTGAAAAGCCTTTGTCCCTCATGCTGGACCAACTTGTAATCCTGCTATGACTAAATTTGATGCTAGAATTTTAGTGTCTGCCTAGTATCCCCTTTCTTCTTTCCTTCTCACCTTAACATTGTACTAATGTATCAGCTCCAGGAAGTGGTTTGGGATCGGTGTAGAGCAATCATGACCATCCTGTTTTCTTTCTCAGCCATCTTTACAGCTAGGGATGACCGTGAGACCCATGGAGACCAGAGTGGTCAGGCAGAACTTTGTTTATCATCAGAGGGGATGTTGCAGGTGGTCTGACCTTCCCTTTCTTCTCTCTTCTCCTGTGAACTTGAATCTGACATCTAGAGTTGTAGTCACTGCCTTATGACCATAAGGAAATGTCCAAGAGAACAGCAGAGAGAGACTTAATCCTGTTGCCACTGGCCAATTGACCCATTGTCAGTCATCACCCTCTTCCAAAGCCTTTCTTAGAAAAATGAAGTCTCTATTTAAGTCAACAGAATTGAGGCTTTTTATATTTTTGGCCAATAATCTCCTTAACTCCCCCTTTAGCAAGCATTTCCAGTGGTGTTCCACCATGAGGGTGCTAGCATAGTGGTCCCCAAAGATGTTTGAAATCTGTTTCAGAGACTTTCCTTCATCTATAGTTTTGGAAATAGCTTCAGAAACATACAGGGGTTCTAATGAGATGACTTTAGTATTTAGAACTGTAGCATTACTACTGGGAGTTGAACTTGGCAAAATCTTTAGTTTTAGTGCTGCAGTAAACTAGTCCAGCATGGACATTTAGTCCAATTCATTTTTTTTTTCTCTCTCACCTTTGAACATCTAGGGTGTGAATCCCTTTCCTCTTTGGTGGAAAGCAGGATCTGCTTTACCTATAGCTGCCAAAAGGGCAACATCTTCCTTCTTTGTATCCTAACAACTGAGGTCCCACCAATCAGATGTCCCACCAACCACATGCCCCACCAACCACATGCCTCATCAACCACATGCCCCACCAGGCTCGCTGATTCTCAAAGGAGGGACAGGGGATGAAGAATCACTTGGGAACCCTGGTCAGAAACACTGAGCATATAGTAATGACCTTGACTACCTAGGGGAGGCAGAGTGGAGAGGACAGTTGCTGCTATCCTGTTGTAATGACAGCTACTCAGGGAGTGGCCGAACTGCACTGTTATTATAGCAGGCCAGCTCCAGCTCCTGTTCTTGGCCACTGTGGGTTCTTGTCCACTCCCAAGGTGGAGTGCTAGTCTTCTCTCTGGTTCTATGAGCTTTATGATATCCTGACAGATCCCCCACCCCCGCCTGCATTGTCCAGAGCTAGTCACTGTCACTCACAACCAACAATATCAACTGATTTGTTGAAGGCTGGCTCACTGGGTGATTTCTAAGCAGGCCTGATGGTGATTACTTCAAGGTTGTGCTGTGGGCTCCATCAAACAGCCTGGCAGAATGCCTCTAATCTAGTCAGATGAGGATTTCAAGTAAAAAACGGTTACAGTTCCTGGCAGAACTGGGTGAGAGAACCATGCTGAATGGTTTTATTGACTGCCCACTGAATCCTGGACACTATTTTAAGTAGTTTCATGACACTGCCCTCTCCACTTTTTACCAAAGCCCAGCAAAGGGAGAATTATGACCCCTGCTTGAGATGAGGATATACAGCATTTCTTTCCTTCCATCCCTGACTTCCACAACCTGGATGGCACGCAATAGGTCTGATTAAGGTTTCTAAGGCATCAAAGGACACCGCCAGGATCAACCACCTCAGCTGACAATCGATTTTGATTCTTCCCAGCCAAATTTAAGAGCTTAAGTGCCTGGGACCTTGGGATGCTTGAAAAGCGTTTGTGGAACACAATGAATGGCGAAGGAACACCTTCAGGCATCAGTTACTTGGGAGGATGGTGGCCTGAAGCATTCAAGGTCTTATGTGAACAGGCTTTTTCTCCACACTGCACCTGCCCCAACTCCAGCCTTGGCTTCATGTCTTGGCTCATGTCTAGCTCAGTGTTTCTCTTTCTTCTCCTTCCCCTTCCCCTTCCTCCTCCTCCTCCCCCTCCCCCTCCTTCTCCTCCCTATTCCTATTGTTTTCTCCCTCAACACTTATTCCAAAGCATTAAGTAAGGACACACATGATGGCCTTTTATGTTTATTTCCCCAAAGTCAATCATTTCTAGCTATATGAACATATTTTCAGTGAATTTTCTTTCTTAGTCTTCATTCTGTCCTCCAGAAACTCCTTTTGCCTCACCACATCACCATGCTTGACTTGAGGAGCTGAAAACCTTGCTATGTTCTCAGTTCGTTTGCGGTACCATTCCATGGGCTGGGGTCCTCCACTAAATAATGAGAAAGTGAGGGGGCAGGAGAGATGGTTCAGTTGTTAAGAGCACTGGCAGCTCTTGCAGAGACTCCAGGTTGTGTTCCCAGAGCCACATGGTGGCCTAGCCATCACCCATAACTCTAGTTCTGGCCGTTCTGATGCCCTCTTCTGGCCTCCACAGGCACTGCATACACATGATGCACTTAAAAACATGTAGTTAAACACTCATATGCCTAAAGTTTTAGAAAAAATGAGAAAGTGATTTGTCTCCAGCATTCCTCTCTCTCTGCTTCCTGACTGTGGATGGATTGTGACCAGCAGCCTCACATTACTGCTGTAGTGACTTCCCCACCATGATGGATTGTAGCCTCAAGCTAGGAAGCAAAATAAACCTTTCCTTCCTTTACGTTGTTTTGTCAGGCATTTTGTAACATCAGTAAGAAAAGCAACACGCACTGCTGCAGGGAGGGCTGGTTTTCCAAACTTGGTGGATGGCAGGGTTTGGAAGGGGTTCTGGTGGAAAACAGCTCTGACACAGCACTAACCACACCTTCCTGTCTTTTTCTCCTTTTTGATAATTAACCCCCAGGTGGTGTTAGGGGGCTCTCCATCCGAGATAAGTTTTGTGAAGAAATGAGCTATTGTCCTGAGGAAACCAAGTGTGAATCCAGTTAGTGAACATGTTAAAAAAAAGGCCAGAAGTTACAGGATCAAATGTAGGTCAGTCAAAAATGTCACAAAGATAAAAAGTAGAGAAAGAAGTGCTGTCTACAAAGGATAGGATTGGTCCACCTTCCCAGGGCCTTGGGCTCAGCCTTGCTCCTCACTTCTCTCTAAAAAATCCCCTTAAAGTGAAGTATCTCCTCACAGTCCCACCTTTGCGGACACTGCTTTAACTGAACTCTAGTCCGCCCCAAGTTCTCATTTTCCAGCCCTGTCCCTCAACACTTTCTCTTTGTCTTTTTGAGATAAGGTCTCTCTGTGGCCCCACCTAGCCTGGCCAGGCTGGCCTTGAATTCACAGAGATCTGCCTGCCTCTACCTCCCGAGTGCTGGGATCAAAGGCGTGTGCCACCACACCTGGCTGTCCTTCAACCTTTTCAAACTTTCTTTTCAGTGCCCCCTGGGACCATCATGCATGCACACATGCACACGTGCATCCATCCATTCTGGGGTTTCTCCCCTGACATCAACCCACCCACCTCAGTCCTGCTTTTTCTCAAGGGGTTCCCTCCTATACACCTAGCTCAGGGCTCAGTACCCTTCCCTGCCTCCAACAGAGCTCAGCAAGTGCTTGAGCATGTGATAAGCTCCGGGGTCCAACTTCTAGGATCCAACGGACAGCATTGTTATGACTTCATTTACTTGGTGTGTGGCCAGGCGAGGGTTTTGACCTCTGAACTTTCCATTTCCTCCTCTGGATGTAATAACGGTCCCCACCTCATTCTGTCAATGAGGAAATGAAAAAGCACAATGCTTGTGCCTGGCATGCAGCAAGTGCTCATGGTGATCATTAGTGATCATCTGCTGTTCTTCTGACCTCTGAACCCTCTGAGTCCTGTCTGTGCCTCTTGTCTGGCTCTTAATTATCAACTAATTGATGATATCTTTTATTAGCTATTTAAATTCTTCTTGTTTAACTTTGTGCTTGTATGTGTGTGTTCACCTTCCCAATTGATCCTAAGCTCCTATAGGCTTCAACCAGATGCTTGCTTTATATTCTCAACACAGACTAGCAGTGGACTAAGTAGAAAGCAGGCACTAATTAATGAACACTTATTAAAATGAATCATAAAATGTCCAATACCCATATAGTCCTTTCATTAGAGTCTCCCTTAATCCCTTAATCCTTGCCACCATCCATTATGGTATATACTGTTAGGCTAATTTCACAGACCAGGAGACAGGTTTTTTTGAGGGAAAACCACTTGCTATTTTACAGCCTCCAAACAACCCCTTTCAGCTTTTGGGGATTCTCACACTGTCTTCTTCTTGAACTCTATACATGCCTTCTCTCTGGCCAGTCAGCATCCCAGCCAACTTTGATCTTCTTCCTGTGGGTTCGTGGGGAAGGATGATGGTGATAGTCGGTTATGGAATAGCAAGTGCATACACACCTAGACGCAGATTGCTTGCCAGAGCACCTATGCCACCTAACTGCCACCTACAAAGTAGGCTGCCCTCCAGAGCATCTATGGGACCATGGGTAGATGGTAGGGTTGGGGGTCACTTTAACTTCTTGCTTAGTCACAGTTTCTACTATGAACTTGCATTGCCTTTAACAATAGAAAGCTAGCCAGGTGCGGTGGCACAGCTTTTAATCCCAGCACTAGGGAGGTGAGGCAGGTGGATCTCTGTAAATCTGCATAGTGAGTTCAGTGAGGAGGATGAGGAGGAGGAGGGGGAGGAGGGGGAGAAGGGGACTCAAGGCTTTGGGGAAAGAATGGCTAAAGAGAGAGCATGTAAATAGAGGAGGAGGAGGAGGAGGAGGAGGAGGAGGAGAAAGCTAAAGATGTAACTTTGGTTCAATTGTTTAAAAGAGTTGAGGTTGGAGACCTCCCCATTGCCTCTGGCTGAAAAATGTTCTCACCTGATTGAAAGCAACTCTTCTTTCCCTCCTCCCTCTCAGCCAGGTGGGAAGAGCCTCTCCTTGGCACTTATTAGTCACAGGTTTGAGATGCAGGGGTGGGTTGGAGAGGGAGAAGGTGATGGGTGTGGAGTGGGAATTTGGGGAGTCTTTTATCCCTTACATCTCAAAGGCTGTCAGGCTGTTGAGGGGTGGAAATGACTGGTAATTAGTGAACCTTCCCTGCTGCACACACTAAAGACACACTTCACAGTCTCTGTGACCTCTGAGGCCCGGTGAGGCTTTGTTATGTAGATGCTCTTAATTGGGTGAGTCACTTACTGCAAACAGCCTAGGCAAGGGAATTGTGGGCTGTGTTTCTGTGAGGCTTCCTACCAGGGCTCTAACTCAGGCATGGCAGTGGGGGTTGGGGGTTGATGGTGCTGGCTATCAAGGTCCCTGTGTAACTCCATGCCCTCACAGGAGAAATGGTCTCTACATCTTGGAAGTCCATACAGTACGCCTCTGTCTCTAGTATGGAGAATGGTACCCCATGTCCTTTCCTCCCTCTTCTTCTCCTGCCCAGTTTATTGATCACCTCTTCTGGGCAAGGCTTGTTCCCTGCATTCAAGCGCAGACCACCTTGTTGGTGAGCCAGGAACAGACATCAACAGACAGACCACTACCATCAGGAGGCATCAGTGGAAGAGACATTAACAGGGCATCCAGACCCTGGAGCACTTCCCTGGAAAGCCTGTTCATGGGGTGATGAGGAGCTAGGGTGGGGGTCCTCCAGACATTGAGTCCCTGGAGGTGGAGATTTATGGAAAAAGGTGTTATCAGGTCTGTATCACACCCTGAACTGTGACCCTGGCACCCTGGACGCGGCTTATCTATCTAGTGTGTAGGTGATTCACAGGGTCTGCCAACGAGTTGTTGTTGGTACTTGAGGGTCTCCTCTGCTGCTTCCCTTAGAGGACTCACCATACTCTCCTGTCCCGTACCCTGGCACCGTTGTGGCTCCTCTAGCATCTGCTCTTGAAAGTCAAGGCAATGGGCCACCATGTCTGTAGCCATCCCTCATTAGATCTCATTCACGCCTCTCTCCCTTCAGCCCCCACCAGTCTTCATAGGAGGTAGGGTGTGCTCCCAGAGCCTGTGAAGACAGTCCCTTGACCTGACTTACTCCTTCTAAACCTCCTCCCCAGACTGTTGAACTGCTGGTTCTGAAGAAGGAATGTCATGATCTCCCTCCTCCCCATTATCCTCCAAGCAAAGCCTGCACAGCTCTCTCCACTCTGGCCCCTGCCTACCTGTTTTCCTGCCTACTTTGGCAAGGTCACTCTCATATTGTTGATGATCATGTCATTTCTTAGTTCTGACTTCACTGGCTCTTAGATAACCCTGGACATAGCTGATCACTCCCTTTCCTCAGTCTTTAATATTTTACTTATAAGAATGTCAGATTTATGAAAAAAATAAAAAATAAGACAGTGAACACCTTTCATCCAGTGTCAGCAGCTGCCATTGCCCTGTTCTCTGTCACTTTTCCCTTTGAACTGTTTTAGAATTGTACACATTTTGAAGTTTACCCCTAACTTTTCCAGCTTGCATTTCCTAGGGCAAATGAAATTTTCTTATAAAACCATACTACAATTAGCACAAGTAAAAAAAGTAATGTTAATTCAATAGTAGCAGGAATATCATCAGACAGTTCAGATTTGAGTGTTCCTAGGTATCTCTTAAATGTGTTTTAGCTTTTTTCTCCAGTTTCACTATCTAGTAAAGGATCAGGTATTCTACTTGGCTGTTTCCTCTCTCTCTGTCTCTCTGTCTCTGTCTCTCTCTCCCCCCTCCTCCTTCTCTGGGGTCTCATAGCCCAGGTCAGTCTGGAACTTACTATGTAGCCTTGGCTGGCTTGCTATCCTCCAGCTATGACCTCCCGAGTTCTGGGAGTTCTCTATGCTCTGCGAGTTCTCATTTTCAAGTTTAATTTTTTTCAAATTAAAGAAATAATTTGCTTTTTCTCCCAGATCCTCCCTCCCATTCCTACCTCACTTGCATTTTGGATAGCCCAATGTTGTAAAATATTCCATTTTCTGGATTTGTGTTCCTGGTTAAACATTTTGCCAGTAACAACATGCAAGGACTATATTTGGGTACCGCCCGTCTGATCATACCAGAACCCACAATGCCAGGCCATGTCACCCTGGAGATGTGGAGTATTTGGGTAGTGGCTGAGAAGTTGCTCTTCTGTGAAGACACCTTTTGTTTTATAACTTACAGGAGTTTATCTGGGGGTGCTTGAAGCAGCAAGGGTACCTCTTCACATAATCCTTCCACCCCCCCCCCCATGATCCTTGGTTGGATTGGCTGTTACCTTTGGAACCCTGTCTTTTTTATTGTTTTTTGACTTCTGGTCCCAACTTGCCTTTGGTCCTTACATCTTTCACTGCCCGTTAGACTCTGTGAGGTTCCTCCAGTCCACCTTGACCTCTAACTGTTGGTATGCATTAGGTCCCAGCATTCACATCTTTCCTTCCTGTCTTGGCATGTTATATGCCAAGTGAAAGCTGAGGACTCCCGCATTTCTAATTCTAGTTTTCTGTGACAGAGTCTGTGTAGCCCAGGTTAGCTTCAAACTCGTGAACTTGAGCTTCTGATCTTCCTATTTTCATTTGCCAGCGCTGGGACTGGAGGTGTGTGCCTGCATGCCTTGCTTTGAATCTTATTTAAATTTTTAAATTTTATTTATTTCCATTTTATGTGAATGAATGCTTTGCCTGCATGTATGCAAGTGCACCTGTGTTGGGCAATGCCCATAGAGGCCAGAAAAGGGTGTCTGATCTCCTGGAACTGGAGTTACAGATGGTTGTGAGATGCCACCTAGGTGCTGGGAACTAAACCTGAGTCTTCTATAAGAGGAGTCAATGTTCTTAACTGTGGAGTCATCTCTCCAGCTCCTCAAATCCTATTTTTAATTTTATTATTCCTTATTAGGTTTTGAGATAGAGTCTCATTGTGTTGCCTAGGCAGGCCTTAAACTCCTGTGCACAAATCATCAGCTCCCCTAAATTTCTGGGTCCACAAGCATGTGTCACTGAAGCATTGGCTGCTGAATATTTTTTGAATGAATGAATTGGTTCACTCTCTAGTACCTCACCACACACTGCAAAGAACTCTTAGTTCTATATAGTAACATATCTGTGTTCTGACTTATCTGTGTTCTACACTGGTCACTCATATCCATTGCTATGAGAACGGAGACCTTGGTGTACACAGGACCTTAATATATGCTTCAGACCACAGCCATGAAGTGGAAAACAGGACCCAAGGTTGGTGTGGTTTGTGGTCTTTGGACCTCCATGTATGACTGTGGTGTGGTGTGTCTGTGAGAGTCTGTGGTACAGCGCTGTGTAAGGACTGGTGAGCCTGTGTTTCCCTTCCTAAGCATCCCCAAGGCCCTCCACGGGACTACACAAGCTCTGTGTCCCTCACTGCAGCCTCAGCTCTGGGGGTCTCCAGGCCTTAGCCCATTTATGCTTTGGAACCAAGTAGTACATAAAAGCCTAGAATAGCTGCACAGAATATTTCTTCCTCTCTCTCTCTCTCTCTCTCTCTCTCTCTCTCTCTCTCCTCTCTCTCTCTCTTTCTCCCCTCTCCTCTCTCATTCCTTCTCCTCTTCCTCCTCTTCCTCCTCATCCAAAGGTAAAGCTGGACATGGTAGCACATGTCTTTAATCCAGGACTCAGGAGGCAGAGGCAGATGGAGCTCTGTGAGTCTGAGGTCAGTCTAGTCTACACAGCTGAGTTACAGCCTAGTTAGGGACTGTATAGTGAGACCGTGTCTCAAAAAAAAAATTCACAGACTTCCCCCCTTGATTAAAATTATTTATTTAATTTGTGTGTGTGTGTATGTGTGTGTGTGTGTGTGTGTGTGTGTGTGACAACACTTGCAAGAGTCAGTTCTCCTCTTCTACCAAGTGGGTCCCAGGGATTGAACTCAGGTCATCAGCCTTGGTAGCAAGTGCCCTTACCCACTGAGCCATCTAGTTAGCCCCAGGCTTCTGTTCATGTTGGCTGGGGTGACATTTTGCCTAAGTTCAACTTCGCAAGCTTTAGATCACCTAGAAGACAGATCTTTGATCATGCCTGTGAGAGATTATGTAGGTTAACTGAAGTGGGAAAATCTACCCTAAAAGTGGGCAGCACCATTCCACAGGCCGGAGTCCTGCACTAAATAAAAAGAAGAAAGTGAACTGAACACAGGCATCATCTCTCTGCTTCCTGACCGTGGACACAATGTGATCATTAGCCTCAAGCTTTTACTGCCGTGACTTTCCCACCATGATGGATTTCACCCTCAAATCATGGGCCAAAACCCTTCCTTCCTTAGGTTGCTTTGGTCAGGTATTTTGCCCCAGCAAGATGGCAAGTAAGTAATGCACTGCTCAAGCATACGTGGTTGTGGCAAGACATCAGGCCTAGCTTCTGCTCCTGCCAGTACTTCTGCCAGGAAGACCCTCTCTGTGGCCTCTTCCACATCAAGGTTCTGACTTCTGCTAAAATGCCCTTACCTTGAAAGACCCCTTCACAAGACTTCCCACAGTTGTCTGAGGCTGTGCAGTTTGTGCATCACAAAAACACTGTGCAGAGGGCATATGTAGGGCCCAAGTTCCACCCAGGCTCTGTTCATCAAGGATGACACAGGAGAAGGGCTAGCAGAGCCATCTAAACCAGCACCCCGGCTCCCACTCCCCTTCTGTACTTTTGTCTCCATAGCCCTTCTGAACGTATTTCAGTACTTGTATGAGTCTACTTGCTACCTGTCCCCTCTCACCATAACTTATATCTCACATTGTAGGTGCTCAATAAATATCTGCTAATAAGTGTTTTCTTTCTCTATTTTGGAGAGATATGCATATTTTCATTTTTCTTTGTGTTTGTCAGTTTTCCAGTACTGTAACAAATACCAGAGATTAAAAACTTATAAAGAGAAAAGGTTTGGTTTGGTTCCTGCTTTGGGAGGTTTCAGTCCACAACTGATCTGCCTCTGTGCTGAGTCAGCTCATCATGGCAGGGGTGCCTGGTGGAATAAACTCCCTTACCTCATGACCAGAAGCAACAGAGAGAGGAAGGGAGAGGGCTCCACTTCCTATCAAGGGCATGCCCCAGTGACCTGGCAGTCTCCCCTTAGGCCCCACCTCTTAGACGTTTCCAGTTGTGTTGTGCTGGGGACCAAGACAGCACATAGGACCTTTGGGGAACATTCCAGATCCAAATTGTAGCATAATCAAAAGATCCTGGGCTGGGGATGTGGCAAAGTTGGTAGTGTTTGTCTAGCATGTATGGAGCCTTGGTGAATTAGTCACTTTTCTGTTGCTGTGATAGAAAACACTGACCTGAGCAATTTATAGAAGGAAGAGTTTATTTGAGCTTATGGTTCCAGGGGAATTACAGTCCATCATGGCAGGGAGGCATGGTGGCTAGAGGTGGCTGGAGCAGGAGCAGCAGAAGCTAAGCTCTCACATCATCACACAGGCACAGGAAGCAAGAAAGTAACTGGAGATCTGGCAAGGCTTGAGAACTCTCTAAGCCCACCGCCAGGGACGTGCTTCCTCCAGGAGAGCCACACCTTCTAAAACCTCCCAAAATAGCACCATCATCTGGGGACAAAATGTCCAAATACTTGGAACCTATGGGGGACATTTTCATTCAAACCACCACACTTGGGTTTGCTCCCCAGAACCACATAAATCAGTTGTGGCAGGGCACTCTGGGTAATCCCAGGAGGTTCAGAAGCTCAATGTTGCCCTCAACTACATAGCCAGTTGGAACAAGTTGGAGGCCAACATGGGCTAGATGAAAGCCTATCTCAAAAAGAAAACCCAAACCAGGTGTGGAGGTACAAGCCTTTAATCCCAGCACCTAGGAGGCTGTGGCAGGTGGATCTCTGGGAGTTTGAGGCCAGCCTGGTCTACATAGCGAGTTCCAGGACAATTGGGGCTACATAGTGAGATTCTGCCTCAGAAAATAAAAGCAAACAACAACACCCTCCCCCCGCCGCCAGCTCCTTAGATCAGCTCATCTGCACTCAATGAGAACTCACCTGCAAATCATCATGGACACTCAGGTAGTTAGTGCCGAGGTAGGCATCGGACCCAGGACTCTAGGCCAGGACACTGGCTACTCTGAGGCTAGACCAGGCTTTCATTTAAGTCTCAGTCTCTGGTGCTGGTGGTACTAGGTCCAAGTGATGCCTCTTCTATTTACAGCTGTGAAGAGAGTCCAGACTCTCTGAAAAAGTAGAAAGAGACTTGGAATTAATGTTAGTAACCCTTATGTGCACATCCTGATTACTACTCCCCATATATTCTAAAATAATCCCTGTAAACAATTATAAAAATAAATCTCAGGGACAAATTTTTTATTTTATTTTATTTCCAGGAATACATTTATTCATTATCATCTCTTCAGGAGCAGGACAAATTGGAGCACTGGGTAGTGAATACAATTTGCAAATAGGCAATATAAGTTGAGAGAAAATGAATATGTATTCCTCGGCACTCTAAAAGAAGAGGAAGAACATTAATAGCCATTTCCTTGTAGATATAACTTTGAAAATGTTATTTCTGATCCATCAGTGTGGGGCTCCGGATGAGGAAAATGGCTTCAACGTGACAAGAAGTGATTAGATGTGAAATGGCACCTTTCAGTCCTCCTCCTGGCCTCAGCCTGTTGTCAATGGGATGGAAGAGTCCTGTTTCCTTGTCAGGTCTGGCGTTAGTGACTCAATTGTTGCTAACTTTGGGCACGTGTCTTCTATTCCCCAGGTCTCAGTTTCCGCAATCAGTAGTTGGAACAGATGATTTATCTCCTTTCCTTCCTCCATGTGCTGGATAGCTTTAGTGTCAACTTGACACACCTGGGCTGAAGGAACCTCAACTGGTGAATTGCGTCCATTGGACTGGCTTGTGATCATGTCCACAGGACACCTTCTTGATTGTTGAGTGATGTGGGAGGGCCCAGCCCACTGTGGGTGGTGCCACCCCTGGGCAGGTGGGCCTGTGTAGTTTAAGAAAGCAGGCTGAGCAGGGGCCAGGGGAGCAAGCCAATAAGCAGTGTTCCTCCATGACCTGTGCTCCAGCTCCTGCTTCCAGGTTCCTGCCCTGAGTTCCTACCTTGGGCTCCCTGATGAACTGTGACCTGAGAGATGTAAGCCAAATAAACCCTTTCTTCCCCAAGTTGGTAGTGGTCAGAGTGTTTTGTCACAGCAGTAGAGAACAAACTAGAACACTCCCTTTCTCCTTCCCTTTCTTCCTTCCTTTATGTTCTTTTCTTCCTTTCATTTTCTCTCTTTCCTTTTCTCTCTCTCTTTTTTTTTTTCCAAGACACAGTTTCACACCATGGCCTAGGCTGGCTCGGAAGTCACTATACAGCCCAGACTAAACTTGAACTCACAACAATCCTCCTGCCTCAGCCTCTCATAGTGAGTGCTGGGTTTACAAGAATGAGCCACCATGCCCAGCTTTGGAGCAGATGATGTTTAAAAGATTGAGGGTTTTTTTTTCTATTATTTTTATTTTATGTGTATGAGTATATTGCCTGTATGTGTGTAAGTGCCCATGTACCCACGGAGGTCAGAAGAGGGCATCAGATTCCCTGGAACTGGAGTTGCAGATGGTTGTTAGCCACCATGTGGGTGCTGGGAATTGAACCTGGGTCCCCTGCAAGAGCAGTCAGTGCTCTTAACTGCTGAGCCATCTCTCTAGCCCCCTAAAACATTGAGTTTTGAACACTTACAAATCCAAATTACCGGGGAAGGGAAGAGGAAGAGAGGGGAAGGGAGGTACTTGAGGAAAAATATAGACATAGGGGAGCCTCCAGGCTGAAATTACTCCCAAGTCCCAAGAATTTGATTGAGATGTGAGGAGTCCTTTCCCAACTTCTAAGGGATAGAACAAGTCAAGCTGGGATTCTGGAAGGTCCCTCCTTGCTAGAAATAGTTGGGTTGGCCTTTCTGGTCCGTGATCTCTCTTCCTCTCCAAAGTCCAGTATAAGCTCCTCTCCTCCAAGTCACTGCCAATTTCCCTTCTAAGCCCAACTGAAGACTTGGAGGATTCTGGAATTTTCAGGCAAAATGGGACAGAAGATGTGTTTCTCATTATTGTTCTCAGGATTTGCTAAAGCAATCCTGAAAGACTGGTGGGTGAGTCTCTTTCCTGCCTCTTCCCTACCAAGCTCCTTTTATATTTAATTACAAAAGTAGCAGATGCAAATATCATGGAGGAAAGGGCAGAAAAAAAAGCAGAAATCCTGTCACACCACCGTCTCCAAACCCCCTTCCCTTTGCATGTTAGTAGAAAAAAAACTACAAAATATTTTTGGTTTTGAGACAGTCTTTATGTATTCCAGACTAACCCTGGACCTAAGATTTGCCTGCTGCTATATCCTCTAGCCTTTAGAGTGCTGAATTACAGATACATTCCAAGTCTGGCTCTGACAAATCAGAAATCCTGTCACACCACCGTCTCCAAACCCCCTTCCCTTTGCATGTTAGTAGAAAAAAAACTACAAAATATTTTTGGTTTTGAGACAGTCTTTATGTATTCCAGACTAACCCTGGACCTAATATTTGCCTGCTGCTATATCCTCTAGCCTTTAGAGTGCTGAGTTACAGATACATTCCAAGTCTGGCTCTGACAAACCGCTTAAGGACCAGGGCTGGGCAACTCAGTGGGTAAAGTGCCTGCTGAGCAAGAGTGAAGACTTGAGTTTGGATCCTAGCACCCATATAATGGTCAGTCTCCTCAGCCTAAGTGACCCTGGTTCTGGGCGTTGGTGGGCAGGGACGACAGGCAGATTCCTGGAGCTCATTGGGCAGCCTGTCTAGCTGAATTTCAACGGGCTCCAAGTTCAGTTACAGATGGTGTCTCAGGGAATATGGTGGAGAACCACTAAAAAAGACACTGAACCCAAACATCAGCCTCTGACCTCCGCAAGCGTGTGTATGTATACCTCCCTCCCTCTCTCCCACCCTCCACCCAAAGACACACAACAAAAAAGTTTACTAAAACCCCAAGAGAAGGGAGACTAGAAGTACTAAAGACAACAATGATAAATAAACAATCGTAAACTAATATTTGTGGAGTGAATCCTTGTGCGAGATACTCTGCTGGCAGCAATCTACATCAAAAACTTCAGTTTGTTCTGATGGGGAGATGCTGGAAGTGTCTTGGAGCATTCATAGCCCTCCAGTCTCTCCCACAGCTACACATACCTGGAAGAGACTACAGAAACTCTCTCTCCTTTCTGCATCTCTAACCTCTCTTGAGGCCCGAAGATGACAGATGTACTGTCAAGGAACATTTCATAGGTGCACCATCCAGTTCCATATTTTTAAACTGAAATCGAAATGTGGAGAGCCTGAACCAGAGTCTGGAGCATGACTAATTATGACAGCCTTCTTCACCTGCCTAGGGGCTGGGTTTGAAACTGAAGAGAGAGCTAACAGCTTATAGCACTGGCCCTCTTTTTCATTTCTGCTGTTAAAGCACAGTTGGAAGATTTAAGGAATCAGTTCCTGTTTGGCTGGTTCTGGCTGACCCCAGCATCAACTCCTTTGACTGGAAATAAACAGGATCTTCCTTTTTGTCCCCAGGAATGTGATGGAGGAAGGACTTCAAGGGAAGGGCCTCTCTGCCAAGGAATAACAACAAAAAGATGACAGTGGGAACACAATGCTGCCCCCTTCAACCAGAGCGGCGGTGGGAGGGGGGCGCAGAGGGTCCCCTTGTGTGTGCTGACCCTTCTCATTCTCTCTGTGAACCCCAATGGAGTTTCAAAATCACAGGCCCAGGAGGGTCAGCCCATGTTGGGTTTGAACTTTCTATTCTGCGGGCCTCATGAGTGGGCTTAAACACACTGGGCTATGCATATCATTTGGGGTTCAGAAAACAGAATCATAATGACAGCGCTTCTTGTTGACATAGTCAGCTTGACCATTTTCCCAAAGGGTCTGTGCTAGTCCCTAGTGGGGCTATGGAATGAAACAGGATAGGAGAGGGGAAGCTTGTAGATCCCATCATAGAATGAAGTGATGAGACCCGGAAGAAACCCAGTACTTGCATAAGTCTCCTTTCTCTCAGTGCTTCTGGGCAGAGATGGAGTTGGTCCACCAAGAAGTCCTAATAGGACTTGACTCCTCTGTTCACTCTTGGAAATGCCTTCAATTCCAAAGGAATTGTTTATCCACTTCTGGTGTGGGTCCCAAGCCAGCATTCCTTTATCCCCCAGAAAAGGAAGATTACATTATTCAATTTCTTTTTTTGTTCAAGAAGGTGATGGGGAAATAGATGCTTCCCTCTTCCCTTCCCTCTTTGGTCTAGGAAGACAGGACCTTTTTCCCTTTCTGGTACCTTTTTCTCTTCCTTCTCCTCTGCCTGTTCTGCCTCTCATCCCCCTCTTCCTCCCCTTCCTCTTCCTCCTCCTCCTCTTCCTCCTCCTCCCCCCCCTCCTCTTCCACTTCCTCCTCCTCCTCTTCCTCCTCTTCCTCATCTCCCTCATCTTCTTCCTCCCCATCATCCTCCTCCTCTTCATCCTCATCTTCTTCCTTCTCATCTTCTTCCTCCTCATCATCCTTGTCTTCCTCCTCCTTCTCTTCAGCAGACCAACCTCCAGAAGCTGAGGAATAAGCAGAGGTAAATCCCCTTGTTTCAGCTAGAGTCTTTTTCATCTGGAGTCTTCCACTAACTACATCTAGGAAACTACTAATGCTATAGTTTGAATACTGTGTCCTCTTAAAGTTTGTATGTTAAACTCCTTCGGGTATCAGAGGACTAGGGTCATTGGGAGGTGACGAGGTCATGAGAGTGAAGCCCTCATGATGGGATTAGTGCCCTTTGAGAGGCCCCAGAGAACTAGCATGTCCACTCCATGGTGTGAGGGCACAGGGAGAAGGCAGCTGTTGGTGAACCAGCAAGTGCGCTCTCAGCACACACTGAATCTGCAGGTACCTGATGTCAGTCGAATTTCTTAGCCTCCAGAACTGTGAGAAAGAAATGTTCAGTTGTTTGGCCATCTAGTTTATGCCATTTGGATATATCTGCTGGAATAGACCAAGACAATGACTCTGATCCAGAGCCTTCAATAGCTCCCTATTGTACATACTAAAGCCCCCCTCAGACTGAGCTGTCTGGAACTTGGTTTGTGTGATCTCCCCACACTGTCCATTAGCTTTCTTAGGGTGCTTTCTGAGTGGAGAAAGGAGCTGGTGGGGAGGCATTTCCAGGTAAAACTAAAAGCTCTTTTAAGTCCAGGCAGAGGGATCCAAAGCTCTCTTCTGGCCTCCAGGGGCTTTGCATGATCATGAATGTGCTTACATATATGCAGGCAAAACACTCATATAATAAAAATAAATAAGTAAAAAAATAAAAAAATGTTTTTATTACAGGCCAGGCATGGTGGTGCACACCTGTAGTCTCAGTATTCTGGAGGTAGGAGCAGGCAGATCTCTGTGAATCTGAAGTCAGCTTTTCTACATAGCAAGTTCTAGGCCATCCAGGGCTACATAGTAAGACCCTGTCTCAAAAACAAAAACACAAAACAAAAAACCAAACTTTGATCATATTTTGTGTGTGTGTGTGTGTGTGTGTGTGTGTGTGTGTTGGGCATGCATGCCACGGTGCTCATAAAGGCTGGAGGTACAACTTGCAGGATTCTGTTCTCTCCTTCCACCACGTGGGTCTTGGAATTGGACTCAGGTTATCAGGCTTGTCAACAAGTACCTGTACTTGCTGAACCATTTTTGCTGGCCTGAAATCTTCCCCCACCCTCTCTCTCCCTCCCTTCCTCCCTCCTTCCCTTCTTTCCTTTTCTGGCTCTAGGGATTGAACATAGGGCCTTTCACATTGCTAGACAAGTTCATCACTTAGCTCCAGCCCTTAAAGAGACATTAAGAGTTACACTAGAGATCTTGGACAGTAAGGATTTGAATAGGAGCCACAGGAAGATTTGGGCTTTTAAAATGGTCCCCTGGGGCTCTGTGGAGGCGGGAATAGCATTGAGGGTCTGGGAAGGGAAGGATCCCTGTCCACTCTGGTGTTATTGGTGGACAGTGTCTACGTAACAGTCTTGGCTTAGAAGATGCAGTTGTGTGTGGAGAGGCATGAGAGGTGGTCTCATTTTTGCACAGGCTCCACGAGTCACCCTCTCTTGCTTAGGTCTTTCTAGGAAGGCTGAAGTGAGAGTGCAGGGAAGGGCAGAGTGTCATGACTGCCGGGTCACCAACCCACTTCCTCCTTTTCAGGCAGGAAAGGCAGATCCAAGGAGACAATGGGTCAGAGAGACTGCACCCTGCACAGACTGAGGGAGGGACCTGTCCTTGGGTCAAAGGCCTTGGAAGGCTCCCTTTCATGCCCTTATCTTAGGAGGGTGAGCTGTTTTGGCCTGTCAATTGTGGCATTTCCAGGAACCTCCTAAAGTAAACACAGTTCAGCTCACATTTTCACAATTCCACTTGGCTGTGTCCTCTCTTCCTTCAGGCCAAGTGTGAGAGGGGCAGGTAGGCCAGCTTTTAATGGTCAACACTTGAGCATCAGAAGGCTGTCCCCACCCCCCTGGCTTGCCTTGCAATGCATTATGAGCAGGCTGTCTGAGACAACACAGTGACAACCACAAAACGTTCAACCACAATCATAACTGTCATCAGCAGTGGCACAGCTAGTGGCTTCTAAGCACTGCCTAGACATGGGGGACAATGAAAACCAAAGCCCTGTAACCATTACCCTGGATGGAGGTGACAGCCACAATTATCAGTAGGCCTGCTGAGCGGGAATACCGACCCTGTACATGAGACCAGGACTCAGCTTTTTTTTTTTTTTTTTTAATCTGGTTGAATGATGTCTGCAGCCATTTGTGTGAAGGGAACAGGATGAGCAGGCCAGGCCTAGGGCTCAGGAAGTGAGATCCTGCAGTACGGTGCTTTGGGAGGCTGAATATTTTGAACTATAGAGGAGGGTGGGTGGGGTGAGAAGGCAAAAGCACCTGCCACCAAGGTTGATGACTTGAGTTTGGTTTCCTGGACTCACATGGTGAAAGGAGAAAACCAACCCTAGAAGCTGTCCTCTGACCTCTGTGTGTGTGTGTTATGGCATCCACACACTCAATAAATATGATTTAAAAGTTAAAAAATATATAAAGCACCCATACGGCAGCTAACAACTGTCCGTAACTCCAGTCCCAGGGGATCCAACAGCCTCTTTGACCTCTATGGGCATTGCACGTTACGGGTGCACTTATCTACATGCAGGCAGTACACGCATACACATAAAATAAAAGTAATAAATAAAATTAAAAAAATATATATAAAGCAAAAGGGAAGCCTTGAGGCAGCCTCAGAGTCAGTCTCTGCCTTTCTCCTGCCTTTCTGTCTCCAGCCTCCTTTCTCTCTAAGAATCAAGTCATAGAAACCAGAACTCTTCTTCCCCAAGGCAGGCCATAGAAACTACACCCCCCCCCCATACCGAACGAGCCATAAATCCTAGAAAGACTACTCAAACTCATCTTTCTGGGTAGGAGCTGATCATAAAGAAATTCTCCCAGTTGCCTGATCTGATGGGAAGTCATTAGACCCTGATTTCAGAGGGGTCTTGCTCTACTCCCCAGAGGCGGGAATGCTTCACACAGCCTTGTCTGACTTCTCCCTTCAGTCTGTGACTGTGACATCACACCTGTTCATCACAGTCCTGTTCAGCTGAGCTTCATCCTGCCTAAGCTGAATCTTTGCCTGCCCTCCCTCCCTCCTTCCCTCCCTTCCTCCCTCCCTCCCTCCTTTCCTCCCTCCTTCCCTCCCTTCCTCCCTTCCTTCCTTCTCTCCCTCCTTCCTTCCTTCCCTCCTTCCCTCCCTCCCTTCCTTCTACCCTCCCTCCTTCCCTCCTTCTTTCCTTCCCCCTGCCTCCTTCCTTCCTTCCTTCCCTCCTTCCTTCCTTCCTTCCTTCCTTCCTTCCTTTCCTCCCTCCTTTCCTCCCTTCCTCCCTCCCTTCCTCCCTCCCTCCCTTCCTCTCTTCCTCCCTCCATCCCTTTTTTCCTCCCAGTCTCCTTTCCTCTTTCTCTCTTCCTCTCCCATGGTCTTTCTATGTATGTAGTCCAGGTTGGCATCCAGGTTGGCATCCAACTTGAGAGCCTCCTGCCTCAGCTTCCCCAGTGCTGGGATTACAAGCCTGTGTCACTCCAGCAGTACACCTTCATTTTTGAAGGCTCTCATGTCATGTAAAATTTTGATGAAATACGTCTGGGTTCTCTTGCCAACTTGTCTTTTCCTATAGAGTGTCAGCCATGAATCACATCCCTTATTATCAGGAGGCAAGTGCAGGAAGAAAGAAAATCTGTATCCTTCCAGAAGGGGACAGACATGAGTGCAGAACCCTGTCCTCTGGGTTGGATTTCCCCATCAGGTACTGGCAAGGGCAGCTTCTCATTACAGATGTGTGTGTGTGCGCTGAGGGCAGTCACACACTGCAGCCCTCTGTGAAGGGCTTCACAAACATCTTTTCCCTAGGAGGAGGGTGAAAATAAGAGGTCTGAAATTTGATACATCACTGATTTTTCTGCCCCAGGGTTCATTTCTGTCAACTGCTGGGGGTGGGGTGGGGGGTGGTTGGAGAGGATAGGGATTGTATTTATTTATGGCGAAATTCAACTTCCTCATCTTCTTCCCCTCCTACACACGGAAACTCCATCCCAACAGGAGTTCTTTTAACCTTCCACTTCTCCATTCCCCACTGAGGCTAGTAAGGGGGACTTTTGGCCTAGAAGCTCCTCCTTCAAGCTCTTGAGGGCAGTTATGTAATCTAGATTGTGAAATTTAGGGAAGGCCCAGCTATGGCCTGGGGACTAACGTCTCTGATGGACGCACCCCTGATAAGGACCCCTCACCCCCAAGCGTTAGTCTGATGAACACAATAAAGTTCTGGGCATGAGATGTTGGAGGGCACCTCTTGGGGCTCAAGATTGCTGGGGTGCGGGGGGAGGCGGGAAGCCAGGCAGGGGAGTGGACGAGTCCAGCCCGGCGGTCCCCACGCAGGGCGCAGCGCGTCGTGCTACCTGTTGTGAGCTTCCTGGTGGCCGAGGTGCACCTGTGGTCTGGGCAGAGCGAAGGCGGCGCAGCTGCGCGCGATTCCCAGCCCACGAGCGCCTGGGGCTTCCGCCAGGTCAGCTGACCGCTCAGTGCGGAACTGCGCTGCCCGCCGCTGCTGCTCAGTGCTGTCTGCCAGCTCGGTCCCTGCCACTATGGCTGGGCTCGTGGTCAGTGGAACGCAAGTAAGTCCGTCCCAGTGAGCCGGGTCCGGTCCGGGGCCCAATAGGCGATGGGAGGGACAGCGGGGCGCGGGTCCTGGAGGCTTATTAACATATGCGTCCCTAGCCCCAGGAGCCCTATGTGCCTATCATGAGTGTCCAGTGCTCACGCCTGCTCCAGGTTGGAGAGGACAGATCCCTCTTTTGGTCCAGGCACACTCCCTGGCGGTGTGGGAAGAAGCCCTGATCTCTGCCTCACTCTGTCCCTAGAGTCACCCTGAGCTCAGGACCATTCTCCATCAGGCACAGTGCTGATGGCTCCTGGTACTTGTCAGGATCCACGGAAAGTTTCAGTTTCCTCTTTCGCAATCCTGGTTTAAAAAGAACTTTTGGTGTGTAAGAAAAAATTTTAATATGGAACAGATAGTTGATACTAGTGCAAATGTAAAACAAATTGACGGATGTGTTTACATCCATGTAAGGAAGGGGGCCCAAGTGCACAGTGCTACCAAAGTCACAATGAAAACCACGATGTGTCGGTGGGTGCCTTGCGGTCTGCCATCAGGGTGGCCTCCTTTTCCAAGGCTACTAGAGGCCCAGGGACATCTGCAGTTCTATTGGGTGCCTGGTTTCTAGAAGAGGCCTTGGTGAGGGCCTGGCTACACAGGGGGATAGACACCCAGCCTCACTTGCTTTCAGCTCTGTCCTAAGGTTGTGTTTTTAGTCACTGTTGAAGCCATGCACTCAGCCAAACTGACCAGACATCCTTTATCTGCTGGAAAATGCCAGTTTCAATTTTACTTCCTCTCCCTTTCTGATTAAGCCAGCCCCACTTTCCGAACTTTCTTCTCCATCCTAGAGTAGTGGTGAGTTTTGGACGTTTTCCCCTTAGGCAGGTGGCATCATGGATGTGGAGAATGGTTCCTCTTCAGAGGTTGAAGAACTTTACAGATCAGAAATACACAACAGAGGCCAGCTGTGTGCACTCCACCAAACTGGCTAGTGTGTTTCTTTATTCTGGAGTCCTCATCTTTTTTTCATATACATTTTCAGAGTGCTTATTATGTACAGACATCCAAAGCTGTTGATGGGAACTAGCTGGGTCTCTGCAGCTCCTGTTGACAGTTTTGTTGCCTAGGATTGCTGGCTCTGCCTGGAGACTCAGCCTGTGAGGGCAGAGACACAAGCCCAGAGTTCACAAGGGAGCCTCCCAGCCTGCACCAAGGAACTAAAAATGACCTCTGATTCTGAGTCAGGGTTTAGGGGCTTCTGGGAATGAGCTTGACTGCTTAGAAATAGGGAGCTGTAGGTATCTGTCTACAAAACAGGGCCCTGGTCCACAAACAATATAGTCTTTGCATTTTCAGACCTAGCTTTCCCTGTGTGGAACTTCTTCCAAGTTCCCGAAGAACTCACCATTCAAACTGAACCGTCCCTGGACTTTCTTTTCCTTAGCTTATCTCCCATTCCAAGAATAGATGTTTTCTGCACTCTTTTTAGCCTGTTCCACACAGCTCCAAGGGTATCCCTTGATATATGGGTGAGACATTTGGGGCCCTGGAAAACTGTTTCAAGATGAGGAGATGTCTGGGAAGAGCTAAGAAGGCATGCTGGGAAAGTGCCCTGTGGTGTTCCTCTCTCCTTTGCTAAACATCTAGGTGATGAATGTGAGTACCTGGTCCCGGGGTTAGGTCATCTGCTAGCATATGCTCCAGGAAAGTTGTAATGACTTCCACTGTAAGAGGAAGCATGTGCACTTTAGGAAACTGGTAGAGCCATCTTTAAGAAACATCAGAAGGGGGCTGGAGAGATGGCTCAGTGGTTCAGAGCACTGGCTGCTCTTGCAGGAGACCTGGGTTCGGTCCCAGTATGGTGGCTAACCACTGTCCTTAATTCCAGTTCCAGGGGATCTGACACTCTCTTTTGACCTCTGGAGGCATTACACAACGCAGGTGCACATACATATATGCAGGCAATACACTTATATACAGAAAATAAAAATAACAAGTAAAATATTTAAAAACATAAAAAGTTTAAATTTGACATAACCCTGTATTTGTTTAATGAGGTGATATATTTATATATACACACATATATAAAATGTGTAGTGATCAGTGGAACAGATTTGTGTATCCATTATGTTAAACATGGTTCTTTGTATGAGGACCTTTCAAAATCCTCTCTGGTGGCTAGTTTGTTATTGACTATAGTTATTCTATGTTCTAGAACATTACAAGTTATTCCTCTTTACCCACAGGACCCCTTACCAGTCAAACACTCAGTAACCTCTATCCTATTCCCACATAGATTTTATTTACTTTTTGGTGCTGGGAGTTAAATCCAGGACTCTCACATGCTAGGCAAGCATTCTACCATTGAGCTGCATCCTCAGCTGTAGACCTCCTTAAAGAGGGAAGAAGCTTCCCAGAAGCCCAGGGTGTTGGTGATCATTTTCATTGTAATATGTCTGAAATATGTGAATGTAAAACCTGATGCAACTTTCTCAATATTGAGAGAACTGTAAATCCTAAATAAAGGGATGGTCTAAGTGTAAAGGAAGGATTTCAATAAAATTAAAACAGTTTAATGAGGGCCTGGAGAAATGGCTCTATGGTTAAGAGCACTGGTTGCTCTTGCCAAAGAACCTAGGTTCAGTTCTCCACACCCACATGGTGGCTAACAACTGTCAGTACGTAACTCCAGTTCCAGGGGATCCAACACCCTCTTCTGGCCTCTGTGAGCATTGAACAAGGGTGCACTTACCTACATGCAAGCGAAACACTCATACACATAAAATAAAAATAAATAAATAGAAAATGATTTAAGGAGATGGCTGATAATTTAAGTTAGACCGCTGCTCCTGTTCCATGAGGGACTGGCAGTCGTAGAGCTGGTTTTCAGATCCCCACAGGCCTGTAACATCATATGCCGTTGGGGATGTTGCAATTGTCCCATCACTTCTCTTTGTAAAATCTTTTTCTTCATCATGAATCTGGCTTCATTTGTCTCTTCTTGGTTTGAAGGCTTCATTTATATTCAACATTACAGCCTCTTTCTTCTTTTGCCTCTAATGTTTGATAATTACAGATGTGGCATGGATGTAATTATAGACGTAAATGCAAACTTGAAATTTGGACACCAAAGTCAAGAGGCCGTGGAAATAACCAATCTCTTCCATAGGGATATGGTCTGAAACAATAACTTTTTATGAGTGACCTCTCTGTGACAAAGACAGTGCTGTGTGCTTTCACAGGATGTCTTATTCCAGTAATGAAGTAAAATGAGGCTAATACATGTGATTCCAAGGCTATTTCATGAGGATTCAATAGATGGTGGGCACATGGCTGGCATTTGCTTAATGTTATTAGATTACCTTTGCTACTTTGGGTGGTAGTTGGTGTTAGTATTTGATTAGTTTTAAAAGAAGGAAACAGAGGCTAGGGATAGTGCACTTGGTGGAGTGCTTACCTAGCATGCACAAGGCTCAGAGTTCTAACCCTAGCATACACTAGACAGGAGGAGCAGAAGTTGAAGGTCATTCTTGGTTACATAGTGAACTCCAGGCTAGCCTGGGATACATGAGACCCTGCCTTTAAAAAAAAAAAGGAGAAGAAACAGACTCCAGGACATTGTGACTTGTCCAAGATAACACAGCTAGGAGATAGCAGCAGGTACTCAAACTGTACCTAGAGCTCTGCTCACTGGGACAAAGATTCTGGTGATAGTACCCTGGTAAGAGGTGACCATCCTAAAATAATGTCCTTTCAGTCTGATATCTGACAAACTTATCATATCCAGAAAGGTCTTATGAGCAACTGTCCCAATGGCAAAGAGAAACTTGTGGTCATTTGCACTTTGACCGTCTTCTGCTCACAAGGACCAAGAGTTTGGGACCCACCCGCATAGCCTCGTCTCCTCTCTGGGGTTTCTCTCTGGAGGACTCTGACTTGGTGCATGTCTTTTCCTCTCCTCTCCTTTCTTCCCCCTTTCCACCTCCCTCCTTCTTTCTCTACCTTTTCCCTTTCCTTTGGGTCTCATGTCTGATTTCCATCTCAGATTGGAAGCTTCAAAAAAGAATGGATTTCATGTAGAAAGGGTACATGTTGCTAGATTGACTTTAGATCCCCCCCCCCCATTTTTTTAGCTGGTTCAACATTATTTTCTTGGGCTGTTGAGACAGCTCCGTAGGTAAAGGTACTTGCTGCCGAGTTTGACAACCTGAGTTTGATCCTGAGGACCCACATGGTAGAGAGAAAACTCAAAGTTGTCCTCTGACATCTACATGTGTGCCAAATGCACACATGCACACACACAATAAATAAATGAAAAACACTTAAAATTATTTTATCGGCATCAGCTAACTTTCTATTTTTTTCTTTATCTTGGGGTTGGGTGGAATAGGGTCTGGCTATGTTACTCAGGCTGGCCTTGAACATACTAAGGTACCCAGTACAGGGATTGCAAGTGTGTGACACTATGGCTCAGTTAGCTATTTCTCTGCCCCTTTTCTCCACTTTCTCTCTTCTTGAAATAGAATTACAGAAGGACAGTGAAAGGGAAGAGAACAAATACATGGCATTGCATTGTCAGGAATTTGTCACTACATAGGAGAGGGGTAAAGCAATGACTGGAAAAATGAAGGTGTTAGGGGCCATGGGGCATCGGTACATTAAGTGGAATCATGTGAACATTCTGAGATGGTTGGGGACTGGCCGGTTATAAAGATATCTGATGTCCTCCACATTTTTCTTCCCCATTAAGAAGCATAATATCCTGGGAATCTCTCAGTCATTCCAAGACATCTTTGTGTATCTGCATAAAAGGTAAATTTATAGGGAGCAGAATCAACGTTGTAGCTACACGAAGGACCTGATTTTCTATCTGGGGGTTAAAGGTGGTGTGGCTCAGGAATGTCCTATGTCTGTGCCTCACTTGACCATCTCTGATGAATGGGTTTGATTTCTTGGTTTTGATTTATTTATTTTTATTTTATGCGTATGAGTGTTTTGCCTGCATGTATGTTAAGTGTACCCGTGCATGCAGTGACTGAGGAGGTCAGAAGAGGGCGTCAGATCCCCTGGAGTTATGGATGGTTGTTGGCCACCATGTGGGTACTGGGAACTGAACCTGGGTCCTCTGCAAGAGCAGCCAGTGCTCTTAACTGCTGAGCCATCTCTCCAGTCCATTTTTTGGTTTTGGAATTCATCTTTAGTCCTGCCTTAAACCTGCAATCTGTTAAAAACTAGGTCCTGGGGTAGAGGAAAGGCCCATTGCTTTCTTCTCAGAAGTTCTAGGATCGGATTTCAATTAGGCCTTTTAATATTTGGGCACACAAGATGCTTAAATCAACATGTAAAATACAATGAAAATCAAAAGAATGCCTAAAGGAGGCAAAAGGCTCCTGAAACCTTTCTGGGGGAGGGACCTTAGATGCGCTGGCCACGCCACCCTGTTGCTTTCCAATCAGCTTTGTTGGAGTGTGATGGGCATTTTACATCCAGTGGTAATCTGATGGGTGATGGGACCGGTGGTGGTCTGGGGAGTTTTTTTTTTTTTTTTTTTTTTTTTCTTCCAGCCCAGGCCTGATCTAGCCACTTGAAGGTTGAAAGGTGTATGTGCAGGCATATGGCCTGTGGGCTGCATATGGCTACTGATAGCTATGAATACAATCTAACATAAAACCATAAACTTACTTCAAACATTTTTTATGATTGATTTTTGTAACTTGATTGATCAGTTCTTGAATGTGAGTTTTGTAAATAACAACATTGTGTGGCAGTGTCCAAAGCTTGGACACACAAGACAGCATTTTCAGGAATACTTTCTATAGTTTGAGCAAAGACTGAGCCTACCTGATAGACCATCTGATCCGCCTGGTCATCTGTGAGGATGTGTGCATTATGGGGTGGCTGGGAGAGGGAGAAGGAGGGCCAGATGGGAAGCCGTTTCAAAGGCTGGGGTGAGAAGCCGGCTGATGGATGTGATTATCTCCACGTGTTCTGACATCGGGGTTCTTTTGGGCACCTGCACCTGGCCAATTTCAGTCTAATTTCCATTGTGCCAGGATTTGTCTCCATCAAGCTAACTGCTCCAGGAAAGGAGAGCTGTTGGCAAAGTCCCCAAAGCTCAGGGAAGCAGGTACAGGTTAGCCTTTTTGTGTGGAGGAGCAGTCTTTCAAGTTGTGGAAGCAGTCATGGGCTCAGCGACTCTGGCTTGTGGGCAGCTGGGTAATTTCCGTTTGCTGCAGTTTCTGTTCCATTTAATTTCCAGGTGTCCTACATAGGCCAGGACTGCAGAGAAATTCCAGAGTACCTTGGCAGAGACTGTGGACATTTCGCAAAGAGGCTTGATCTGAGCTTCAACCTCCTGAGGTATGTGACCTTCCAGAGATGACGGCCAGGCCTGGGAGGCCCAGTTCCCTTGGGGGACCTGTGGGCTGCCTGATGTACGTCAAAGGTTCCAGTTCTGTGGATGGTGTCCTTTGATTCAATGGAGAGTCTCTAGACACATGGAAACCGACCCCCTGCGCATCCCCCCCACCCCCAATCTGATTCACTTTAGATGATTTGTTGGCTATCCTTTTAGTGTTTGGAGCATGGTTCATCTCATGCCTGTGGGAGGACCTTCTGGTTTTCACTTGTTCTTTTTTTTTCCCATGGATACCTGTGTAGAGTCAGAATCCTCTTGGAGAAGGAATGAGATGACACCACCGGGTGTTTTAGTTTAGCTTTCTTTTGACGATAACTCTGTCATGAAGAAGTCTGTCAGATCACAGGTAGGGTGTATTTGTGTCTTTCTTCGAAACTGAAAATATTTGTGATGGCTGGGCGTGGTGCTACTTGGGAGGCAAAGGCAGGTGAATCTTTGTGAGACCGAGGCCAGCCTGGCCTACATAGTGAATTTCAGGCCAGCTGGGGGCTACAGGGAGGCCCATTCTCAACAAACAAACAAACCAAACAAAAAAAATTTGTTATAATGTTCTCTCTCAGGTGATGTCTTGAAGGACTCAAACACTATTAGTTTGGGGTAGTTGGGAGGGGAGAAAATTCTCTAACAGCTATTGGAGACTTGGCTAAAAGTAAGTATGATCTTGCCTGGTATTCTAGTGGAGACTAACAGTTATTTTATTTCTTCCTAAAGGTTATGAGTTATGCTGGTGGGTGGCCTTAGGGAATGGAGGTAGGTGACACTTGGACAGCAGGTGTTGTGGGACAAGTGAACAGGGATCAGGGTGGTAGCTTTCTCTGTTGAGCTGGCTCTACTCAGGGCTTGCCCCTTAGCTGTCCTTGAGCTCCATCCTGGCCTCTGCCTAAGACAAACTCACTTGGATGAGCCTGAAAATGCTAGTCTAGCATCTGGGTGCTTTTCTGCTTCAAGGCCTTAGAGTTTCCCAAACTCTGAATGAGGATCCTTGGGAATGAAGAATTTGGAGGAAGATGGATAGAATGCAGGGAACTGGACACTTGTAGATAGAGACTAAGTTTCAGCTAAGTACTTTGTCATCTGGTGCCTAGGAGCCAGTACATGGCCACACCGAACTCTATGAACTGTGGGAAAGGGATCTGACAAGGGTGGGGTGGGGTGGTGCTACTGAGTGTGCTCTGTCCAATTCCCAAGGGGTTTATGCCTCTGGGAAATGTGGAAACAAAAACATTGCAATGTCAATACATAGGAATGAGAGGTAGCTAAGCATAAATGCTGTCTCTAGAGAAATCCAGGGTGCTTTGTGGTCCTAGTGCCTGGACAGATGGAGTGCACAACCTGGAGTGATCCGGGCCTAAGACATGTGTGCCTTGAATAGCTTCCCTGCCTGGGCTCAAGCAAATGTTCCTTTGTGGCATCTTGAGTTTTACCTATGTGAGTGGCCTCCAGGGCCCCAGGGCATCATGGTTTAGGGGCTGTGGTTGTGGTTCTCTTGTTTGCTCAACTGGTGGCTGAAGGCAGGTGACACTATTTCTCTTGGGTGTCGCAGGAAGATACGCACTTTCTCAGGTACTAGTTTATCTTTGCATTCAGTCACATAAAAATCTAAGATGTTTTAGATGCTGAGCTACTTCCTCTTTAAGAAAGGAGGATGGTGGAGCTGGAGAACAGAGAGAAAGGAAGAGACAGAAGATTGTCAGGGCACTTTTAAAGTACCTGGGTATTTGACAAGATGGCTGAAGTCTGTTGGCCTTCAGGGGTCAATATATCCAAATAAGGGCTGGGGAGATGTGCCAACAGTAGAGTTCTTACACAGCAAACGTGAGGACCAGACTTTGATCTTTAGAACCCATGTAAAAAGCCAGACATGGCAGTGTGCACCTGTAATCCCAGTGCAGGGGAGGCAGAGACAGGAGGAACTCTGGGGCTCACTGGTCAGCTAGTCTAGCTGAATGGGTGAGCTCCTGGTTCTGTGAGAAACCTTATCTGAGAAAACAAGGTGGAGGGGTGGATGTGTGTGGGTGGATCCTAGAGGAGTTACAGGATGGAGCAGGGAGTGGATATGATCAAAATACATTGTGTGCATATATGAAATAATCAAATGGTTAATGAACCGTTATATACCTAACATACATCTTGGGCTGGCAGCATAGGTCTATAATACATAGTAATACTGTATTTGGCTTTGTCGAAGAGAATACCCTGAGTTGTTCAAGCTGGCTGCCATGAAACACTACTTCAGACAGCAGAGCCAAGGGGTGTCAGAGCAGGAAACTAGGGAGCAATTGGACTGCGGTGCAAAGTAGCCTGGAAATAGGTTCCGCAGGCCTGTGGAAATGGTGGGGTGGGAGTGTCCAGAGAGAAATTTCTACCAAATGCAGGATACACATTTGTAGTATTTCCTTTCGATTTTTTTGTGTCTGTTTTTTTGAGACAGGGTCTCACTGTGTAGCTCAGGGTGGCCTTGAACCCGTTTTGTAGCCCAGACAGATCTCAGTCTTGCAATTTTCCTACCTTAGCCTCTCAAGTGGTGGGATTGCTGCAGACGCAGGTCACTGTGTCCAGCCTCATTTGGGTACCGTGTGAGTGTGCGTGCATGCGTGCGTGCGTGTGTGTGTGTGTGTGTGTGTGTGTGTGTACAAATTGTAGCACGCGGCATAGGATACATTTGAGATAGTACTGTCCCTGGATATCTTTCGGGTGCTCCCTGTTAAAAAGAATTATTCCCCGGCAAGGAGAATTACCCTCGTTGGGCCAGACCTTCTGCATCTGACCAGGCACCCTGTCTCCTGTCTCCTTTTGCAACTGCTGTGTCACTTATCTATTTCCAGACCCTCAAACCCCACAAAATTCTTCTCTCTTTGTTACAAGCAGAATAGCCCGCTCTCCTTCAGTTTGGCACACCTCCACCGCCTCCCTTTTCCAATTCTGAAGTCATAGCAGGGTATTGCCTTAAACAGAGTACTGAAACACTTGCTGCGCCCCTAGGTTGTGAGATCAGCTGCAGTTCATGAACCACAATTTGTTTTTCGGTAAGGGGTTCTGTTTATTCATTTTTAATAGCTAAAAAATACACGCTATAACATTTAGTAAGATCAAACATGCAAACAGTGGGACAACATTCTTCACGTCTTGGTCCTTTAGCCTCCCACCCTTGCTCTGTATTCTTATTTCTCAATTTCCGTACAGACTTCTACATCTTGAGATGTTTGATGTAGATACAATACGGATTCCTTGCTTTCCCTCCAGCTGTACTAAAGTATTGTCAACAGCTCAAATTGCATACATTTATGGTATACAATGTGATACGGCTACCATACAAAGTAACCTATCTATCTATGTATCTATCTATCTATGTATCTATCTATCTATCTATCTATCTATCTATGCATATAGATGAAAATTAGAGTTCTGGGAATAGATGAGAGAAGCTAGTACAAAGAGGCAAAAGACAAAGTCACCAGGGTTATTCCCAAAGACTCAAATATTTAGAGTGAGCTGAGTGGTGATAACTTGAGAGGATATCATCTATCTGTCTATCTATCTATCTATCTATCTATCTATCTATCTATCTATCATCTGTCTTCTATCTTTTCATGACCTCCCTTAGTTACTCTTTTTTTGTGGTAAGGAGATTTAAAATCTACTGTCTTAGCAAAGTTCAAGTATATAACACAGCAATATTAACTCTACTCACCATGTGGGATAGTAGACCGTGTTTAAGTGTTGAATCCAGCTGGGTTGGCTCTTTTTGCATATGGGCATGAACTAAGGATCTGATTTCATTATTATCTGGGACTTATTCATCTTGTTTTACGGAAGCTTTTCACTCTTTGACCAACATCTCCTAGTGTCCCTGTCCCTGGCCTGGCAACCAGCATCCTATTCTCTGTCTCTGTGAGTTTGATTTTTTAGATTCCATGGGTGAAAGCTTGTAGTGTTTTATCTCTTTCTGTGTCTGTCTTACTTTACTTTGCATAATGTCCTCCAGGCCCATGGATAATGTCTTAAACAAGACATTCTTATTTAAGGTGAATAATATTCCATTGTGTGTGTATGCCCATTTAAAACCCACTTATCTGTCAGTGGACAATCGGGTTGATTCTGTATCTTGATGATTGTGAATAGTGCAATAAACATGAGAGTAAAGATGTCTCTTCAACACTCTGATTTCATTTCTTTTAGATGTACACCTGGAAGTGGGGCTGCTTGATCGCTAAGTAGTTCTACTTAAAACTTTTTTTTTTCAGTGTATATTTTTATTGAATTATTGTGCATTTCACATAATACATTTTTAAACAAAATTTATTTATTATTTTATGAGTACGAGTGTATTACCTGCATATATGCAAATGTACCTGTGATGCACAATACCCGCAGAGGTCAGATGAGGGCACTGGAGCCCCTGGAACTGGAATTAGGACGGTGGTTAGCCATCATGTGGGTACTGAGATTCAAACCTGGGTCCTCTGCAAGAGCAGCCAGTGCTCTTAAGTGCTGAGCCATCTCTCCAGCCCCAATACACCTTAATCATATTTAGACCCCTCCTTTATATCTCCCATATCCCACCCACACGATTTCATGCATTCTGTCATACATATTAAGGCCTATCGAGTCATGTTTGTGTACCCATGTATCCCTCGGTGTAAGTTCATCCACTGGAGCCTGTTCAGTCTGTCTAGTGTCACTTAAAGAAGATCAGTTCTCCGTCACTCAGCAGTGGTTGGCTGCTAATAGTTCCTCAGCTAAGGTTGGGGCCTCCTGCCCATTTCTCCAGCTCTATGCTGGTTTTTGTCTGAGTTTTCATGGGTCTTGTGCATGCTGTCATCATTACTGTTCACATGAGCAAGGTCTCAGGAGCCTGTAAGACTCTGTTTCCTTATGGTCATACACTTCTTCCCTCATACAGTCTTTCCGCCTCCTCTTCCACAATGGTCCCTGAGTTGTG